GAAGTCCACAAGTCTTAAAGTTGCCAAGTTTGGAGACCTCTGCTTTAGATTTATTATCTCAGTAGAATATAGGATCCAAAAGCAGCTCCCCTCTTACATCTCTTTCTGTAATTTATGTGTTGTGCAGCCTAAATTCTACAAATCGGTCATTGATGATGTGATTGAAGGAATCCAAGATGTTTTTGTGGAAGAAGGTGTAGATGAACAAATTCTGAAGGAGCTCAAGCGGGTTTGTTGATAACTCCATTTCTCCTGCCTGTCTTTTAAATTCTTTCTAGGTGATAATAAGTAGATCAAATGCCTGTTTTTGGTAGATGTTCCCACTTTTTCAATTTTTCAACTGGTTTTGTCCATGTTGAACATTTGAAAATACTGCTGGAATTTCTGTCATGGAATTTTAAGATGAATCATATTTTTTCTAAAAATGGAATGATGGAAACATTTCTCCAACAATATACATTGGGGTTATAAGCTTCACAACCATCAGATAGATTCTGGGCTGAATTAATATTTTTCCTATATCTCAGTTGCCATGTAAATTCTTTTAGCTGTTGACATTCTACTGAAGTTACTTGGAGAAAGTAGTTAAATTGATTAGTGCCCATATTTCCTTGAAAAGTACAGGATTGTTGCCAACAAAGTTTACTTTCCTGCAGATACCAGAGAGAAACCAAAGGAGAATAAACATTTTATAGTATGTTCCTAACAATTATTGAAAAATATATCAGGAGAATATAGTGAAGGTTATGTGGGTTTCGATGGGGAGAAAGCATCTCTGACTCAATCTGACCAAGACTGAGTGATTGTGGGTGTTTGAGTTCCCCAGATCTTGGGCATTCCATTTCTGACCCTGGATGGGATACCACTTCCCTTCAGGGTTGGGATGCAGTCTGGAGATCTTCCTGGAAGAACAGGTATCAGCTGTGGCCAGGAAGGCCTTCGTACAACTTCATCTGGTGCACCAATTGCACCTTTCCTAAATTGGGTGCCCTTCATTCAAACCCTAGTGGTGTGACTACTGCAATGTGCTCTACATGGGGCTGCTCTTGAAGGCCACCCAGAAGCTTCCACTGATCCAGAATGCGGTGGCATGAGTAGTAATAGGCATGCCTTGGTATGCCCCCATAGAGGTAATCCTCACTTAGCAACTGCCCTGTTTAACAAACTTTCAAAGTTGCTAGAGTGTAAAAAAATAGCTTTGTGATCAATTCTCACATTTAATAATGCTTCAGCATCCCATGTCCACATGATCACCATTTGAACACATCACAACTAGCTTCCAACAAGCAAAGTCATTGGAAAAGCTGGCAATAAAATTGCAAGTCGTGGTCACATGGTATCTTATTTACTGAATGGGAATGAGATTGTAAGGTGATTGCAGTTATGTGATTTTCTGTTTTGCGCCTGCAGTATTTAGTGACCATGCTGCTGGTCTTGCTTGTGGACACTAAGCGAAGATTAATGTGATTTAAGGTCTGCTTTTTACCTTTAACAAACCCTACATGGTGTATGCTGTGGTTATGTGAGCAACTGCCTGCCCCCCATAATATCTATAAGGTTTCCCCCTTATAGACATTTTGCATGAAACAGAAAAAAAATGAACTTATGATTTATGGATTTGATGATTAAAAAGAAAGATATAAAAAAGAGGGCTTTTTGTAACCATAGAGTAAGAGGTAATTTTGAACAGTATTTATAGTTGTAATTGCTGTAAAAAAAATTAGAAGCTACTTCTATTTCTTTTTCATCTTTTCTTTTCACACTTTTAGCTTTTTTGCTGTTTTCCCCCCTCTTTATTTCTTCATATTGGTTATTGTTAATTTTTAATCTCATTTTTAACATTCTTAATACAAATTATATGAAAAAAGAAGAAAATTCACCGCACTTTATAGGGGATGTTCTTTCTTGTGTTTAAATTTTTTTTTTCTTGCAGCGCTGGGAAATGAAAGTGATGCAGTCTAAAGCAACTGAAGGTTTCTTCCACCATAATCATGTTTTGCCCCAGTTCACCCTGCATCTTCCATCCAGCTTCCAAGCCCTGCAGACGACAGGTTGATGCCTGATTTCTTTCAGCAAAGACTGTCTTAGAGAGGAATCATTGCTCAGTAGGAAGCATGGGCATCAATTCAGCTCCTGCATCTTCTGCTGCGGGATGAGTAGGAAGCGATAGAGAATAATTTGTCTTTTTCAGAGATGCCTAACACAAAGTTCAACATCATTCTGGTGTCTTTTAAGAGGAAATTATAACAATCAAACTCATCTAATTGCTAGCAACATGATGGAGAATTTTTTGGGTTTTTTTGTTTTTTTTTGCCAGAGCTACCTTTGCCTTTAAGAAAATGTTTGAGCTTGGAGGGCCTCAGGGGATGTGCCATTCCTGCTGGTGGTGGAGCTGATCATTTTGGGATTTCTATGTTTGGAGTCTTAAGGGTTATTTTTATTTTTAAAATGTGCATTAAGATAAGTAGAGCATATTATTTGGAAAGTTATTTCTTTTAAAGAAAAAAAACAACAACAAATTTGCCACTGAATTTCAATGCAATGATTTTGGCGAAGGTGGTACTGGAAGCCACATTTAGCCTGCAGAATATGACCAGCTGATCTATTATGTACTGCATAGAAATGTTCTTGTAGATACAAAAATATAGCCAGAACCCAATGGCAAAATAATTTGGTGAAAGTGTTTCCCTTTTCAACCCTAGTGTCACTCAGAATGGCTGTATTTGCATATCAGATTAAGCCTAAATTTTGAAGTCTTTCTTGTTTGCTGCTGACTCTTCCTGCCTGTGGAATAGACTAAACAAATCATAAATACTGTCAGCGTTCCAGCAAAACCAAACTCCAATCAAAAACTCCAAGACAGCCATTTCCTCAAAGTTTCTTTATACTGGAAAAGTCATACTGGCACATCTGGGAAAACCCAAATCTGAGAGTTCTGGGTTTTCCTTCAATAATTAAAAAATATAAGTTCATCCCCTGAACCCATCATTCTATCACATGCCCCAATCACCATCCATCCCAACTTGAGACATCCCTTAAACACTCCTCATCCAGATGCAGGAATAACATGACCTTGACTGTGAAGAATGCTATTATGTCTTAACTACATATCTTCCATGAAATCCCCCTTCCCAATTTCCCAAGCACAAGAATGTGGCAGCTTTTGGTGCTAATATGGCTTCCAATCCAAAGCTGACAAATATTACCATGATATGGGCAACCAGGGAATCTGGTTCATTCTCCTCCTAAGCTATACTAACTTTTTATAACAAAGCATAGTTACAATGAGTGGTTTCATTCTAATGTTGGTCAAGTGTGACAAAAGAAACTTTTCTGGGCTTATTCTCTTTTAACAATAAGTAGAAATTCCAATGTCAGTCTGTCTTGTTTATAATGCATGCACCAAGGGTATATAAAATATAAATTTTATACATTCAAGTGCAGCTCTTTCTTATATAGGCAACCTCTAAATATGTGTGATTCAGTTTTCAGAATTATCAGGAGTAGGCATTCATTTGAGATGGGCAGCAATTTAAATTTGGTTAATAGATAAATGTTGCTGAGGAATGATAAGGTTACAAGTTCACATCAGAAGTACCTGAAGTTGAAAAGAAAAATTCAATTCTTTAATGATGTTTAATATTTTATTTAAATAATATGCCTTTAGGTGTTACTGCAGGCAGAGGAATGCATCAGTTCACTACCTGTACAACACCAGCAGTAGCAGCTGAACTAGTATGTAACTTTGTTATTTCCATATAATTTTAACATTTCAAAAAAGGCAAAAATGTAAATTCAGCCATGGATGGAAACACAAGTCTCTGTGCTGTAAAATACCTTCTGCCAAACTTGGACAAAGTCCCAGGTAAGAAGTATGGGGTGCCCCAGGGGACTGGAGGTAGCTCTGGAAGACCTGATGCAGGCCTCACACAATTTGTGGGGGTGTTGAGGACAAGTCTCTTCACTCAGGGAGGATTTTCAGTGCCAAAATGGAGAGCCTTGTCCTCAGCACCCCAGAAATTCTATGCGGTGTCCGCAGGACCTTTCAGGACCTTCTCCACTACCCTGAGACACCCTGCTATCCTTACCTAGGAGATTGTCCACTTAAACACCTACAAGATCACGCAATAACCACAACTGAGAGTGCTGGGATTGCAGTTGTTGGGCGAAATGGTCACATGACATCTTGGTTAACTACTGTTTTGCTCAACAACAAGCCTGGTCCCCACTGTGGTCATAAATTGAGAATTACCTGCATAGCTTTAATATATTCCATATTCTCGAATGATTCACATAGTCAAAGGAATGCATAGTTGAAGTCAATAAAAAACAAAGTTAAATCTCATTTTGGATTTTCTTGCTCTGTTATTAATTGGTAATTATGTGATTTTGTTTTCCTCTGCCTTTCATTTCACTTTCATTTGGTATTTCTCTTTTTATATGACTTTGTTTTTCATCATAAAATTTTAAGTGAAATGTTGCTTGCATAAAGATAATTGGTAATCATGCGGTATCTTGCATTTCTCATGGGTAAAGAGCTATACACTGATCACCAACCCGTAGATCAAAGTTTCTTGCTCAGCTGTATATTTGTTGGCATAAAACTATTTGCACTTCAACAGTTTGCACTTTAACACACACCTGTGGAGGATTAGCAGAATTATTTTATGTGAAGAAAAAGGATGGTAGAAACTGTGAGAAAATATGGATGGATTACAAATGAGACTCCCCATAAAACATCATGAGGGTAGTGAAGAACTTAAACAACACAGATACACACACCGACACACAGAGGAAGAGAGAAGAACTGAAGCTATATACCTATTTTCATTAATGTCAGTACTGCATGGGTGTATATATAAGTGCACACATATGCAGACAGGATGTATTGCAAAAACATTCAAGAGAACTTCCATCAATTAAATATTTAAGTCTTCTATCCCCCTCACTGGAAGTCTTTGGATAAAGACTACAGAGCCTTGGGTCTGCTCTAGCTTTGGGTTTTTAGGACTGCAATTGAACGGTGCCTCCAATTCCATAATTCAGCAAAACAGTGGCATCTAGATTAATTCAAGAAGAGACTGGTCAGCCATTTGTTCAGAATAGAATAGGTCCCCCTACTTGAGCAGGGGATTGGACTAGAAGACCTCCAAGGTCCCTTCCAATCCTATTATTCCGTTTCTCAGATTTTTTGTTGGAGGAATAGAATCAATTCAATTTTCCTAAATTTCATTTTACGATCCTCATTTTCCAGTCAGCTCCTCTAAAATGATTGAAACCTGTTCAAACAACTCTCCTTAATGGAGATAGAATTCAAAATCTGACAGAGATTTTTTATTTTTGGAAGATCTGTAAAGGAAAAGAAAAGAATGTGTTTTTCATAGAGACACAGCCAGAGTGTAGAAATGCAGAATTAAAATATTGTTTGGCATGTCATATCAGAGGAACCTCCTCTTGCATATTGAAACTCCTGGGCGGTTTTAGTTCTTACAGTGATAAGAAAAAGAACCTCAAAAGAGGTAGGAAGTCTATATAAAACCAAAGAAGAACCAAACATGATTTCCTGCCACATGAAAATAAAGTTGCATAATTTATGTTAATGAAAAAATACATGGGCTGCTCCAAGGTAGTATATTTGGACATAGTAATTGAGTGATTTTTTCCCTGATAAGCTTTCTTTTATCTAGGAGTCTTCCCAGTCTAGTGGGGCCATCCTTTCTCTGCCTTCTGGCCTTACCTATCCTATCCAAATACCTCCTGGTGTGACTCTTCAGACAACCTCTGGTAAGAATTAATGATGTACCCTTCAATCAGTGTTTCTCCACCTCAGGATTTTTAAGATGGGTGGACTTCATGCTGGTTGGGGGAATTCTGGGTGTTGAAGTCAACCCATTTTAAAGTTCCTGAGGTTGAGAAACACTGCCCTTGAGCATAATTTATGCAGTGAGCATAATAATAACAATAACAACTTACCAAGCAAATGCAACAGGGAAATAGTGACGTGTTAGTGTTAATAATTGAAACTGCTGCAAACTTAATGCCTAATTATTTGTTCTCGTTCCCTTTTAATGAATTTTGTAATTCAAGAGCTTGTTTTAAGAAATTATCCCACCTTATGAAAATCTTCAGCTTTCCTGATTCTTTGAAGCTAGGGAAAACTTCAGTGTGGACAAACGTGTATAGGGGAGAAATAATAGCAGTAATGATTTGATAGACTAATGCTGGTGCTGTTATTTTAATGAAAGAAGCTTGCATGCTGGGAAGCAACTCTGTCCTACAGTCTTAAGTTTAAAAGCACAACATGAAGCAATAGATAAGAGGAGGAGTGCATTCTGGCTTAATAGAAAGGTAGCTTAGATAATTTAGAGAGTATTTAAGACAGAGCTCTCCAAACTTGGCAACTTTAAGATGTCTGGACTTCAACTCCCAGAATTCTCCAGCCAGCTATGAGAATTCAGCTGGAGAATTCTAGGAGTTGAAGTCCACAAGACTTAAAGTTGCCAAGTTGAGGACCCCTGATTTAAGGCAATGGAAAATCATATAGGAGAGCTTTCCCTAACATGGCTGCCTCTGGATATTGTAAAATACTTCCCCAGTGCTAAGTTGAAGTGCTAAGTCATTCACCTGCCCACCCTTGAGACAGCAAGGCTGGAATGAAATTTGCTCTCCCTATTCTATTGCCTCTTTTCCCTTCTTTGACTTCCTTTCAAGATCCCGGGCAACAAAGCCTAAAATCAATAAAAGAGAATATTTGTAGCTCAGGGTTGAAATGAGGCATCCTTGGTACTTCATGAGCTTGCTTGTTTTCTTGCAGATGTTTCGTTACCCTAACTAGGTAACATCATCAGTGCTAGTAGGAGTGCTGTTTGCTGTCAGTTTATATTCTGATGACGTGCTTGTCTGTGTGGGTGTCTTGTCTTAGAGATTCTTTGGTTGGGCTGGCTGTTTGGCAGTTTCTTGATTGGGGTATTGCTTACTTGATTGTGGGTCTGAAGTTAACCTTGTAATTAACCTTTGCTGATTTGGGTGCTGATTACTGGTAGAAAGGTGCTGGAGTCTTTTTCTGTTTTGGGCTGGATGACGCCTACAATATTTTATTGTGGCAATGTAAGAATAAGGGGAGCACAAATACTTTAATTAATATCAGGAGAACTGAATTAAAACTTTTTCACATTTATTTATTGGCTGAGGATGGGATGAAGGCAGTGTCATATTTGTGCTGTAGATATGTGCAACTGAAGAAAGGTTTTCAGAGTTCATGGTCATGCAGATTCTGAATTTCAGCTCATCTATAGGATGCTAACTGAGGAAGACTAATGGAAGAAACAAGGGAGGGAATATTTGTTGAAGAGGGAATGTACACTTATCCAAAGATAGATAGAAGGAGCATTTTTCTCATCTGTTTCATTCCTCTGTAGCCAAACTAAGAAATAATGTTTGTGGGCATGTAATTGTGTGTAACTGTATTAGCCTGAATTGGTCCACTGCAAGATGAAAGCTTCGTCAGTGATGTAGGGCTGACTGTACAAGGGACTGGGCCAGAATTATCCATTTGGCTACTACCCTGGCATGCACTCTTTCTCTCTCTATATGAAATACAATGATAATGTGATAAACAGCCTTCAAATGCAAAGAGACTAGTCTGCGTACAGTAGTAGTGCAATGGGAAAATAATCAGTGGGATGTGGAATGTAGAAGGGCGAATATGCATTTTTAGGAGCATGAGCTTCATTTCAAATTTGCTTTTACAAATAAAAAATCCATTTTAATTTCAACAGAAGAGTGGGGGCAAACTATTAGTTTGGAGGAGCACTTTTCTCCATTTCACTGGAACCATCCCTGCTTGTATATCTTTTTCTGCTTCTTTACAGAGCTGAATTAACTGTTGATCAATAGTGGTTGGTTGGAGGGAGGTAACAGTCTGAGCGGCAAAACAGTTGTATATTTGTTCAGTCATTTTTGCTTGCAGGATGGGCGGCCATATACAGTAAATGGAGTAAAACAAACACTAGACATTCTGGTTGGCTGCCAGAGAATTTCATTAGGCCAGGTGATTTCATTAGGGCTGTGCAGCATTTTAGGTTCCATTATTGAAAGACGCTGGAATGTACTCTTTCTGAAGGAACTCTGTCTTTTCCTGAATTTGGGCAGCTGGCACATTGTCTTGGAAAAAGACTTGTTATTTTAAAAAGTTGCAGGCAATTGGTGTGTTTTCACCAATGCAATCTTTGAATGATCTTCATGGACTAAATCCAAAAATGCTGCATAGCCCTAATATCCACAATTTCTACTTTTTCTTCTTCTTGTAGGACACTTGTATAAAGTCAACATGCCTGTGGTTGTCACTCAAACTACTGATGGAGGAACTGCCATTCAGACTCCACTTGAACAAATGTTCCAGCAAGTTGGGAAGCAATCCTTGGTGCCTCAGCCACCCCCAGTTAATATTATACAGGCAAATATGTCTTCTGTTCAAGAAACCAGCAATGGTAGCTTGCTGACCTCAAAGCTGCCTGTGCCTCAGCACCTAAAGATGGGGCATAAAGACTTGCTTGGGGCTACTGCTGCCACACTAGAAGCCACCAGAAGTCAGGGGGAAGTAGGGACCCTGGTAAGCCTGCAGCCCTGCAGTTCTTTACAGACTCCCCAGATAGCTGTTACAACTGTTCCTATTGCAAAGTCATCTGGAGTAGACAACCCCAGGTCCAGAGAAGCAAGAGAAGGAATTTCTTCTGCTGGGGGACAATTGTCTGTGAATCTTGATCAGCCTCCCGAACCTGATGATATAATTGAGCTGATAATTATGGGCAATGACTTGGATGACCCTGCCCTTCTGTCTGATGAAACCAGCCTCTCTTTTGTTGAAGAGGTAACTCTGCTGCTGTTTTTTTTTTTTTTTAAAAGGATTTTTAATATACGTAACTACTTGAAGAGAGCTTGTAGATATAATTTTAAGAATGTATTTATACACAGATTGAATAGAAATGTGGAATGAGCTTCATCACAGAGTTGCTTTGCAGAGTGAGATGGGCGGCATATAAATTTAATAAATGAATAAAAATAAAATCCACCCATCCATCCCCATTTAAAAGCAATAGCAAAACACTTATTGATTTTACTAAAGTTGAACAGTCTTGATATTTTTAACGTGTTGTGTGGGCAGGAAGTATTGCATCATTTTAAAAAGATGTTATCTCTTGACTACGTGCTTTTCCATAGCCTTTCAGATCCCCACTTCCTTTTAGTTAGATACCAGTGTGCAAATGGAATCAGACCTGCTGGCCCAGAAAAATACTTCCAATGGCCTTGAGGAAATCATTCAACTAGATGGGACAAGTGATCTCTCACCCAAAGCAGAAATAGAAAGTCCAAGAGATGGAGAAGATGAGGAGCTTGTGGGTATAATTGATGCTGAAGATTTAAAAGTCCTGGATGAGGAAGAAGAGGAGGAAGGTGAAAATAGCACTTCAGACAATCAGTCTCTCAACAGTACCAGCGATGCTGATGAATCCTCAGTTGATATTGTTGAGGAGGTAAAACTTAATGTTTACAATGATTTGATTTCACTTTTACAGTATAGTCTTCATTTGCATTAAGAAAACAGAATTAGATGGACTTTTACAGCTGTCCAGCTCCTCCACTGATGAATTACTAAATCCTTACCTCAGCTATAAAGACCTCTAATGAAGGTGTTTCCCGCCACTAATGAATAGGGTATCATTCTTAATATTAAGTGTGGATCTCCTTCTTTGTAATCTAAACCTATTAGTTAAACAAGAATGGGCAACCTGGAGCCCTCCAGATATTTTTGACTATAATTTCCAAGGTCCCTTGATTGACCATATTAGTTGGGCCTTAATGCATGTTGGAGTCCAATTGTTGCCTTTGTAGCACTAGAGTACTAGTTTCCCATATCATCTGTGTGAAGCTCTTTATTACTATTTGAACATAGCTATCAGATCACATCTTAATACATCCATTCCATAGATTAAATTCATACAATTCCTTCAAGCTTGCCTCGAAGGACTTAAAGAAAACACAGATCTTCTCATTCAAATCTAATACTCATATTGGATATACACTGCTCAAAAAAATAAAGGGAACACTTAAACAACACAATGTAACTCCAAGTCAATCACACTTCTGTGAAATCAAGCTGTCCACTTAGGTAGCAACACTGATTGACAATCAATTTCACATGCTGTTGTGCAAATGGAATAGACAACAGGTGGAAAGCATAGGCAGTTAGCAAGACATCCCCAATAAAGGAGTGGTTCTGCAGGTGGTGACCACAGACCACTTCTCAGTTCCTATGCTTTCTGGCTGATGGTTTAGTCACTTTTGAATGCTGGTGGTTCTTTCACTCTAGTGATAGCATGAGACGGAGTCTACAACCCACACAAGTGTCTCAGGTAGTGCAGCTCATTCAGGATGGCACATCAATGTGAGCTGTGGCAAGAAGGTTTGCTGTGCCCGTCAGCGTAGTGTCCAGAGCATGGAGGCACTACCAGGAGACAGGCCAGTACATCAGGAGACATGGGGGAGGCCGTAAGAGGGCAACAACCCAGCATCAGGACCGCTACCTCTGCCTTTGTGCAAGGAGGGACAGGAGGAGCACTGCCAGAGCCCTGCAAAATGACCTCCAGCGGGCCACAAATGTGCATGTGGCTACGCAAACAGTCAGAAACAGACTGCATGAGGGTGGTATGAGGGCCTGACGTCCACAGGTGGGGGTTGTGCTTACAGCCCAACACTCTGCAGGACATTTGGCATTTGCCAGAGAACACCAAGATTGGCAAATTCGCCACTGTGATCTGATAGCTATGCTCTTCACAGATGAAAGCAGGTTCACACTGAGCACATGTGACAGACATGACAGGGTCTGGAGACACCATGGAGAACGTTCTGCTGCCTGCAACATCCTCCAGCATAACTGGTTTGGCAGTGGGTCAGTAATGGTATGGGGTTGCATTTCTTTAGGGGGCCGCACAGCCCTCCATGTGCTCACCAGAGGTAGCAAGAAAGTTCGTAAAATGGGGGCAGAACTGAGACATTAATTTTGGGCTACAGAAAGTTTGGGCTCAGTTGTGGTTGTAAGTTGACTACCTGTGTTACAATGATGGGAAATCTACATGTATTGTTCATAATCATCTACTCAGGGGTGTCGAACTCAAGGCCCAGGGGCCAGATCTGGCCCACAAGGTGCTTAGATCTGGCCCATGAGGCCACCTTGGAAACAGCGAAGGACCAGCCTATGGTGACTCTGCCAGTGAAAACAGAGCTTGGGGGGTTGCATGTGGCCCTCTCAGGACCCATTTTCAGCCACAACGGCCTTCTGTAGCCCTTTGCCAATGAAAATGGAGCTCCAAAAACAGGGCTTGGGAGGGCCACGTGCACTGGCAGAGGGTTGCAGGAGGCCATTGTGGCTGAAAAGGAAAATAAGGGGTCAGTTTTTACTGGCAGAGCGCTCCACTTACCACAGACGCACCCAACACAAGTGATGTCAAGCTGGCCATGCCCACCCTGGCCATACCACCCTGGTCCCCAAGGTCAAACACAGCCCTGATGTGGCTCTCAATGAAATCGAGTGTGACACCCCTGATCTAGCTTGAGGGGATTATAAATGTGCAGTGTTCATCTCTGGGCAAGACACTAACTTATTGTATGTTCTCTTTTAGTTAGATTTGCAACTTCCTGGAAATAAATTGTTTCTTATTGCTTCTGGCAATTGTGTGCGCACAACATAGATTAATTTGGTCCCTGCAAATCCTGAAGCTGCTCCCTGTCCTGGTTCCACAGAAACAATTTTGCATTTTCTTTTTTAAAATATTGAGTATTGGTGCTGAAAAATATTTAATTGGGAAAATGTGCAGAAGCCTGGTTAATAAAAAATGAAATGTGCAGAATTTACCTTCCAGAAGGCAAAAAGGGGAGTGGAGAAGTAATTGAGACAGGACACACATCTTTTGAAGGATGAAAGTGAGGAAAGCTGAACTGACTGTATTAGTAGAAAAAGTAATCTGAAGTCATTTATTGCTAAACCCTCCAGAATGTTCTTTTTTTATAGAAAGAAAGCAGACAGCAGCTCTTTTGGGGAAGCATATTTGTCTGAGTGCTCCGTTTAATATCTGTAAAGTTGAAAGAAAAGAGACAATGTTCAGTAATGTGCCGCCAGGAAGGTGGAAATTGCAACATAGCTGCTATAGGTATAGTACTGATGCAGGGTAATTTTCTGAATTTTTACTTGGAAAAGCACAACAGAGCACTTGAGGAAGCGATGTGTTCTGTTTGGCACAAGGTACATTTGTAGAATCAGGCAACCATTTGTGACACTGTCTGAGTTGTACTCTGCTTTGCAGATCCTGCATCCGGTACCAAAGTAGACAAAAGAACTCTGTGGATTTGTTTGATCCTTGTTGTAGAGGCAAGAACTGAAAATACCCTATATCAGGGGTCTCCAACCTTGGCTTTGCTGGCTGAGGAATTCTGGAAGTTGAAGTCCAGAAGTCTTAAAAGTTGCCAAGGTTGGAGACCCCTGCTCTATATATCATAGCTTTCTCCATTCCTGTACCGCAATCTACTATAATCATGGTTAGTTATAGCCTATTTTAATAAAATAAGTAAATGTTAGTCAAAACTCTTTAGGTTAAACTTTTGGGGTGTTTGTTTCTTTTCAGGATCCTTTAAATTCCGGTGATGATGTTAGTGAACAAGAAACACCTGATGTTTTTGACACCGATAATATAATAGTATGCCAATATGACAAGGTATGTTTAAGTTTTTTTTTTTAAATGAGCTCTGAAACTTCAAGTCAGCCTTCCTTAATATCAAGTATGTCAGAATCAAGTATTCTCCCATGGTGATGGGAAATTTGAGAAGATACAGATATTTTTACCTAGTTCCATAGTGCCAGATTGGGGCAGGCCCCTAATTCATTTATATTTTTAGGCATGTCGTTAAAAGTAACTTGGGTTCTGTGCCCAAATATATATTTTATGCAAGAACTGACATAGAAGTAACAAAATTGCATGCTTGCTTAATTTCCCTTTAATATATTCCTCTCGTATATTTATATAATTGAATAGCATGCTTATTAATCCCCGTGCCCATGAGCTAGTGAAAGATTACAGCAAAAAGTTAGACATGATGACCTCTTCAGTTGTATATTGTCTTTTTAAGGAATTGTGCAGCTGAAATCTCTCATATGCTTGCTGAGGTTTCAGAAATCCATGCAAATAAAATTAAAACTGAGCAGAACCATGTGATTAAACGTTGCCGTTCTTTAAAAGGATTGGACCTTTTGATTCATTAAGAAATCTAATCTAATCTAAGTGTGAATTTCCCCCCATAATGTTAGATAACTGGTTATCGTGGGCATGTGCCTTTAGACACACTACATTTTTAGTAATATGGGCAGGGATGGGATTCTACCCTTTTGGCCCAGTTCAGGCAAGCCAGTAGTTACGGCGACGATTTGGCCCCGCCCACCTGTCCCTGCCCCATTCTATCCTTTATTTCTGGGGTTTTCAGCTCAGCTGTTTGGCGCGGCACAGCGGATTGCCACTCCTTAGCTAATTTATTCACCGGGACTGCAGCAGAAGGTAAGTTTTAGAGCTGAAAAAGCAGTGTTTTTTCAAATGCTACGTGCGTGTAAAGCACGCACTCACGGAACCAGTTGTTACACCAGTTGAATTGCACCCCTGAATACGGGAGTGGTGAGATAAGGAAAGAATTAGATAAATGGGAAACCGTTCTTGGCATAACAGAGACGAACAGGTGTTTGAACAGGTGTCGGTGCTTCATTTCTCTCCGCTTCAGAGCTGGCAAGGCTTATTTCCAAAAGCATGCTTGGGACAATTCTGATTAAGCGAGAGTGGAAATGTTCAAACAAATCTATGCACACCACTGAGGTTAACAGGTCTAACACTTTTCTCAGTTGCCCAGGAGATCTTGAGAGTAGTAGCTTGATGACTGTGAGAAAGGCATAAAGCATCTTTAATGTGATTTCTCAGCACTTTTTCAAGGTTCTGACATGAAAATCATGCAAGAGCCTCAGTGGTGCAGAGGTTAGAGTGCAGTATTGCAGGCTACTTCTGCTGACTGCCAGCTGCCTGCAATTTGGCAGTTCAAATCTTACCAGGCTCAAGGTTGACTCAACCTTCCTCTTTCTGAGGTGGGTAAAATGAGAACCCAGATTGTTGGGGGAAATATGCTGACTCTGGAAACCACTTAGAGAGGGCTTTACAGCACTATAAAGCGGTATATAGGTCTAAGTGCTATTGCTAAGTGCTGTCCCTTACAGTAAGTGTGTGTGAGAGAGAGCAGCAAATTGAGAGAAACCATGAGGTTTGCCACCCAGTGAAAATGTTTGAGAGTTTTCTCATCCCCATAAATTTAAATGAGCATAATTGGACCAAAATGGAGAATGTATTAATAGAGTATCCCAGAAGGTATAATGACTGGCATTCTAACAGAAGGTTTCTTTCTGCAGTGTTTTTCCTGCTTCTAAATTACTGTAAGGTTTGCATTGTTGACTCCCCCTGCCCCCCGCCCCCGCCCCGGTTTTGGTTCTAATATTAGACTGGTACATCAAGTAACTTTCTTTCCCATTGCTTATAAAAGAAAGCATCTTTTCTTTTAGCGGACTTTCTAATCACCAGGATGCAAATGTTTTCGAAGCCATGATTGAGGGAGCTGATATTTTATCTTTCATTAGGTTCAGCGAAGTAAGAACAGATGGAAATTCTACTTGAAAGACGGTGTGATGTGCTTTGGGGGAAAGGACTACATTTTCTCCAAAGCCATTGGAGATGCAGAGTGGTGAAAGTTTCAGAAATATCTGCAGTATTTTTAAAAACTGTTCTGTAAAATTCAGCAAGGAAATATTGAAAGTTTTGTGTTCTGAAAAACAAATCACATGAATAAAGTATGCGACTCTATAAAAAAACTCAGTGTTGACAGTTACTGTGTGTATTGATCAAGTTCCATTTAATTTGTATGAATCAGTAAATACTGTATATCTGCTTGCTCCTTTCCTAGGTTGGTGCCCCCCCCAGATGCTTTCTCTGTCTCCATCTGTGTGTGTCTCTCTCTCATACACAGTTATGCTCCCTTTATTCCTTCCTCCAAATGCACATAAGTCTCTCAAGTTGGCTTACAGCAATTGAAATCAATATTAAAAAACTGAAAACATTTTGAAGACAAAAAATGCAAAACCTATCTAGTAAATCATAGTGGGCAAAGACAAGAAACAGCAACTTTGACATTATCTCTGGAGGGGTGGCACATAAAAACACAAGAATCCCCCTGCTGCCAAGGCCTGTTTGAGGCAAGTATTTTGTTTCTCGCAGTGGCTCACCAGAGACTTTTGGAGTGCTCATAAAAAGAGATGGACGTGCAATAGAGCGCTTGATAACTATTAGCTCTTCCAGCTCCATTGCTGCTGCTAACCGCCAAGCCGACGATGCGCTAGGTGTCTAGGCTGAGCATTGAGTTCCATTGGCTTGCAAAATTCCCCAAAATATTACAGACTGCTCTCACAGGCTGGTGTGAGCCAGTTTCATATACTACAGCAGACACGTATCTTTGCGCCAGTGAGTTTTGGAGTCCAACAAGGCTGATCTTGGTCTCCATAGTCATCTTTCATTATTTATCCTATTTTTTTTAAAAATGTGATTTACAGTTGAGGGTGGGACAGAAGATTGGTCACATTTATAATTATAGGTAAAACATTGTTTTAAAATACACTAACTCCCCCCTCCCCCAAGAAATGTAATATATACCGTATATGGCTATCTAAAAGTGCATTTTTCATGCTTCTTCCCTCAGATTGCATGGACAATCTACTTTCAAATGGCATAGACCAGTGGTGGGATTCAATTTTTTTTACTAACGGTTCTGTGGGTGTGGCTTGGTGGGCATGACAGAGGAAGGATACTGTAAAATCTCCAG